CTACTTCTTACATGTTGAACCCAAATACCTGTACTTTCTACTTCTCTCATGTTGAACTCAAATACCTGTACTTTCTACTTCTTACATGTTGAACCCAAATACCTGTACTTTCTACTTCTTACATGTTGAACTCAAATACCTGTACTTTCTACTTCTTACATGTTGAACTCAAATACCTGTACTTTCTACTTCTTACATGTTGAACCCAAATACCTGTACTTTCTACTTCTTACATGTTGAACTCAAATACCTGTACTTTCTACTTCTTACATGTTGAACTCAAATACCTGTACTTTCTACTTCTTACATGTTGAACCCAAATACCTGTACTTTCTACTTCTTACATGTTGAACCCAAATACCTGTACTTTCTACTTCTTACATGTTGAACTCAAATACCTGTACTTTCTACTTCTTACATGTTGAACCCAAATACCTGTACTTTCTACTTCTTACATGTTGAACCCAAATACCTGTACTTTCTACTTCTTACATGTTGAACCCAAATACCTGTACTTTCTACTTCTTACATGTTGAACTCAAATACCTGTACTTTCTACTTCTTACATGTTGAACCCAAATACCTGTACTTTCTACTTCTCACATGTTGAACTCAAATACCTGTACTTTCTACTTCTCTCATGTTGAACTCAAATACCTGTACTTTCTACTTCTTACATGTTGAACCCAAATACCTGTACTTTCTACTTCTTACATGTTGAACTCAAATACCTGTACTTTCTACTTCTCACATGTTGAACTCAAATACCTGTACTTTCTACTTCTCTCATGTTGAACTCAAATACCTGTACTTTCTACTTCTTACATGTTGAACTCAAATACCTGTACTTTCTACTTCTTACATGTTGAACTCAAATACCTGTACTTTCTACTTCTCACATGTTGAACTCAAATACCTGTACTTTCTACTTCTCTCATGTTGAACTCAAATACCTGTACTTTCTACTTCTTACATGTTGAACTCAAATACCTGTACTTTCTACTTCTTACATGTTGAACCCAAATACCTGTACTTTCTACTTCTTACATGTTGAACTCAAATACCTGTACTTTCTACTTCTTACATGTTGAACTCAAATACCTGTACTTTCTACTTCTTACATGTTGAACTCAAATACCTGTACTTTCTACTTCTCACATGTTGAACTCAAATACCTGTACTTTCTACTTCTTACATGTTGAACCCAAATACCTGTACTTTCTACTTCTTACATGTTGAACCCAAATACCTGTACTTTCTACTTCTTACATGTTGAACTCAAATACCTGTACTTTCTACTTCTCACATGTTGAACTCAAATACCTGTACTTTCTACTTCTTACATGTTGAACCCAAATACCTGTACTTTCTACTTCTCTCATGTTGAACTCAAATACCTGTACTTTCTACTTCTCACATGTTGAACTCAAATACCTGTACTTTCTACTTCTCACATGTTGAACACAAATACCTGTACTTTCTACTTCTTACATGTTGAACTCAAATACCTGTACTTTCTACTTCTTACATGTTGAACTCAAATACCTGTACTTTCTACTTCTTACATGTTGAACTCAAATACCTGTACTTTCTACTTCTTACATGTTGAACTCAAATACCTGTACTTTCTACTTCTCACATGTTGAACACAAATACCTGTACTTTCTACTTCTTACATGTTGAACTCAAATACCTGTACTTTCTACTTCTCACATGTTGAACACAAATACCTGTACTTTCTACTTCTTACATGTTGAACTCAAATACCTGTACTTTCTACTTCTCACATGTTGAACTCAAATACCTGTACTTTCTACTTCTCACATGTTGAACTCAAATACCTGTACTTTCTACTTCTCACATGTTGAACTCAAATACCTGTACTTTCTACTTCTCACATGTTGAACTCAAATACCTGTACTTTCTACTTCTCACATGTTGAACTCAAATACCTGTACTTTCTACTTCTTACATGTTGAACCCAAATACCTGTACTTTCTACTTCTCTCATGTTGAACCCAAATACCTGTACTTTCTACTTCTCTCATGTTGAACCCAAATACCTGTACTTTCTACTTCTCACATGTTGAACTCAAATACCTGTACTTTCTACTTCTTACATGTTGAACTCAAATACCTGTACTTTCTACTTCTCACATGTTGAACTCAAATACCTGTACTTTCTACTTCTTACATGTTGAACTCAAATACCTGTACTTTCTACTTCTCACATGTTGAACTCAAATACCTGTACTTTCTACTTCTCACATGTTGAACTCAAATACCTGTACTTTCTACTTCTTACATGTTGAACATAAATACCTGTACTTTCTACTTCTTACATGTTGAACTCAAATACCTGTACTTTCTACTTCTTACATGTTGAACTCAAATACCTGTACTTTCTACTTCTTACATGTTGAACACAAATACCTGTACTTTCTACTTCTTACATGTTGAACACAAATACCTGTACTTTCTACTTCTTACATGTTGAACTCAAATACCTGTACTTTCTACTTCTCACATGTTGAACTCAAATACCTGTACTTTCTACTTCTTACATGTTGAACTCAAATACCTGTACTTTCTACTTCTTACATGTTGAACCCAAATACCTGTACTTTCTACTTCTCACATGTTGAACTCAAATACCTGTACTTTCTACTTCTTACATGTTGAACTCAAATACCTGTACTTTCTACTTCTTACATGTTGAACACAAATACCTGTACTTTCTACTTCTTACATGTTGAACTCAAATACCTGTACTTTCTACTTCTTACATGTTGAACCCAAATACCTGTACTTTCTACTTCTTACATGTTGAACTCAAATACCTGTACTTTCTACTTCTTACATGTTGAACCCAAATACCTGTACTTTCTACTTCTTACATGTTGAACACAAATACCTGTACTTTCTACTTCTTACATGTTGAACTCAAATACCTGTACTTTCTACTTCTTACATGTTGAACTCAAATACTTGTACTTTCTACTTCTCTCATTTTCCAAACAGCTGGTTCCTTTAGTCTGAATGTGTGTTTGATGCGTGATCATTATTCTTTAGAGTCATTGCGTGCCTATTGATTTGAACACGATCCGTGTATCCATCATTTCCTGGTCTTCTCTAAAGAAGAGGGACCAATGGAAACGTTGTCATGTTGCCGTTGTTCAGCATGGAAACATTCATTAGCTAACAATTACATCATTGTTCTATTATGGCCTATAATTACAAAAACAACACTCCTTATAATACTTCTGATTATTATTACACTAGGACTCCTCAACCACCTCCTTTTTGCAGCAAGCTGTAATCTCTAATATTAATATGTAAGGTACATCTGTTCTGACTGGGTTAAAACCTTTGAAAGGAACAATGTCCAGGTGAATTGGTATAGGCTCTGTGCACAAGATGGCGTCTATGAACTTCGGCGGGTAGGGGAGAGGTGTATCAGAAGGGTCAAAGAGAACAAACTCTTTGACAAAGCCATACCACTGTCTGTGTGTGGAAGCATTGAGGAGGTTTTCAACGTGGCTTGCCTTCTGGTCAACTACCAGAACGGACCACTGGAGCATGGGCAAGCCTGGGCAACAATGATTAAAAGATTTCTTGCTCCCAAACCAATTGTGTATTTCATTGTGGTCATTACAAAAAGTAGTTATACCATACTATGTTTAGGTACTAACGAATTATATCCTCAAAACAAACGCACACTTAAATAACATAGGAAAATACATAATTTAATAAATCCACAATATGATAACATTTTACAGATTAATCTAATAAACTTTTACAAAACATAGGTTGATGTTATATCGAGGGACAACATACATATTTAAACATTTCAATTAGTCTCTGCATATTTAAGTAATGCTAGTTTATATAACAGATGAACAGATGTACAATATCCAGAAAGTAGATGCAAAAAATATATATAATGTGTGCATTTCCAACATTTCCTCTGAAAGAGTGTTGTATCAACGCAAGATAAGTTAGTTAGCATCCACAACTTTTGTTAATGGATAACTATTGAGTAAGTTGAGTAGTGAGCCATTCGTTTTAGGTGATTATACACAATGATCATACTCCATATGACATTAAATGTCTGCCAATAAACACCCCTTTCTTCCTCACATTGGTCCTTTGAGTAAAGGATCTTTTTGACTTATAGAACACACTTGGTTCTGGTTTTAGCAATTTAAAGAACTATATACAGGAACATATTCATGTTAGATCAGTAATGTATAGTGTGATGTAGTGTGGTACACTAATGTAGTGTAGTGCATATCAGTCCATGTAAAAATAAAAATAATCTCCCTTCTCCCTAATGGTTGCAGCCACCTCGCAGTCTCTGCAGATACGTTGTATAAGGATATCCTCCTCTGCAAAAACTACGAGATCGCACCACTCCATCCCTGTGAGTAGGAGCTGGCCTTGCACCTGCCAATAGTAGCTATGAGACTGCTTCAGTTTTAATGTGCCACTTTGCATTTTTAAGTAGCTACAGTCCACATAACTTTTCACATTTGGGCATTTTATTTCTACAAGTCCAAAAGGTGGGCTCTCAGTTGGGTCAAACACCAGACCGTCAGGAGATGCCCCTAACCAGGGGGCATCTGGGTGAATGACAAACCCACACGGCCAGTAATTGGTGTTTTTAATCCGGCAGTATTCCTGGATGGCAACCGGTTCCAGTGCCAGTCCCCTCTTCATCGACGCCGTTTGCGCCACTCCCTTCCGAATCCGTTGTGCCAAGTTTTCAGCCGAACTCTGACCTCGAACATGGCATACTTCCCTGAAACGGGAAGAAGTTATTCTTGGCCTCCTAACACGGTGCCATTCCACACTGTCGCTCTGCTCCCTTGTTGATATAAAAATAATGACTTTTCTGTCTTTGGAGTCCCTTAATAACAGGGTGGGAGCAGCTGTATGAACACGACCTGCAGCTGTCTCTCTCGGCACTACCACCTCCTCCTCCTCTCCTCCTCTCTCCCTCACCGAGCGTCTGCAGGGTGGGGGTCTCTGAGGGTCTCTGGGTAAAATAGAGTGAATGTTCTGTCTTTGGAGTCCCTTTGTAACAGGGTGAGAGCAGGCAGTCCTCTTCACAGAGACCTGCTGTATGAACACACCTAATGCAGTCTCTCAGGTTTCACCTCCTCCTCTTCCTCCCTCACTCACAGAGCGTCTCCAGGGTGGGGGTCTCTGAGGGTCTCTGGGTCTCGCCCCTCTTAGTGTCTCTTCTCTCTGGCTCTCTCTGAGCCTCTGGTCCTGCAGAAAGCAGCCGATCTGAGGAGCTCTCCTCCTCCTCGGGGGGGTTCTCCTCGTTGGACCCGGAGCCCGGCAGAGCTGTGTACGTCGGGACGGCGTTAAACATGACGAAGCCCACCATGATGACCACGAAGGAGATGATGTAGAGCGTGGAGAACTGAGAGAGGAAGAGATGTTACTGAGAGACGCCATGTTTACACGTTGCATGTTTTATCTAACTGCGTTTTAAAAGAATCAGAATCAGGTAGGTTGACACGTACGAGCAAGTTGACGGAAATGTAATTAGATAGACTTATTCACACTCTTTCTACCACCTTCAGCTGTTCATACATAGTCCATACAAGGAAGGACAAGAGGAAAACACATGGGAATCAATCAAAAACAAACAAGTTTAGTTTAGCATCACTAGCATTTAGCATCCTAACAAACTATGAGGCAGCTTTCATTTCCTTTTGCATAATATTAAAAAAGGGAAAGTCATGTTGATGTAAGACAAAAGCCTGATACATATCACCTTAAAAGCACATTTTAAAACAGCTAAAGTCTCCCTGACATACATGGAAGGAAAAGTGGAATACAAATGGGAATATACACAAGTTTAGTTTAGCACTAAACCACAGCCTCCTAACAAAAACAGTCGATGAGGCAGCTTTCATTTCCTTTTGCATAACATAAGGATAAGTCGTGTTGATATAAGACAACAGCCTGATACATATCAGCTTGAATACACATTTGAAACAGCTAAAGTCTCCCTGACTGGTTATCAAAGTGCCTCACGCTGTAGTGGAAGAGGAAGAGTCCACAGAAGAGGCTGAACAGGTCGGCGGTGAGCAGAGACAGATTCACCGCCGTGGCATTCGTCATCTTCACCACCACCGGCATGAAGCTGTACAGAGAGTACATACACAGAGAATACACTGCAAACCACAGGGCCACACACACACACACACACACACACACACATATATATATACCATGTATACATCACTTCAGGGGACATTACATTGACTTACATGCATTTCCTGGAGACTTATCCTAACCTTAACCATAACCAACACATGCCTAACCCTAACCCTAAACCTAACCAAGTCTTCACCCTAAAATGAATGATTCCCCTATTTAGAGACAATGGACGTCCACTCTCGGGAGACGTCTGACAGTGGTGCGGTTACCCAAAGTGACAGACCTAATTTGACCTCTATTTAGAGGAAATGGACGTCCACTCTTGGGAGAGAGACCTCCAGCATGTGTCCCTGAAATGGGGACTCTGTTTATTTCACACTTCCAGGAGAAACGACGGGTAAACCCCCTCTCTTTGCCGGCTCACAGAGCCCCGAAGGACGGACTACAGACCTCCAGCATGTGTCCCTGAAATGGGGACTCAGGTTATTTCACACATCCAGGACAGAGACCGGGGAAATCACCTTTCTGTGGCCCCTCCAAGACCCCCAAAGGGCGGACTAATGACTTCCAGCATGTCTCCCTCAAATGCGCACTTCCATAACCTTGCACACCGTGAGTCCCCGGGCCTCCGGACTTAAGCACTCCCCCACGGACTAAACCCAGACCGTCCGCCCATCGGCATCCATATTCGGCCTTCTTCACGGCACCACCCTATATCATGTGAAGCCACCGAGCCGTGGTCCCCGAGGGAACTGGTGCCCGGAGCAAGGCCAATTGCTGAATGCCGCAGCTGACTAAGGCCGCTATGCAATAGTGGAGGATTAGGGAAACTGATGTTTGCCTGGCACTCCGCGGCGAAGTGGGGAGGTGGAACTTCCACCCCGTTGCGGAACCCGTGGTGGGACCCCTGAGTCAGACGGTTCGTCTTGGAAACGCTTCATATCGGTCAGCCCGGGAGGTAAGAGACATGCAGGGTTACCCCCACGCAGCACACCCTCCCGGCCATCAGAGTCGAACCCGCAGTTCGGAGGAACCGACAGCCAGAGCACCGGCACGTGGACCGGGGGTGAGGGTTTGATTGATTGATTGATTGAAAAGTTTATTAACAGCTTGTATATTGGGTACAGTACAGTACAGCTCAAAACATACAATAGACCTATCGCTAAACCACGCCCCAAATAGAATTTGTCCAATCATATCACAGCAAAAATCCCTCCTGGCAGAAAACTCGGACATCACCAGAAAAGCCGTTTGTGGGGCGCATCAAACCAAAACCAGACGTCTGTGATCGAAACCACTGTGAAGAGTTCAGTTTCTATGTTTATTATCTAGCTAATATCTGATGGTGAAACGCTGTGCGTGGGGTACCTGTAATTCGGACACCAGGTACCCTAAAAGACTGGATGGAGGAGTATATTTCGTACCTTTTCCGAAGCCCAAAAGAAAACTCAACAAATGCAAGCGGTGGATTATGCTGTGTCGTCGACCACATAGCACATACACAACTGAATGTGAAGACAATTACCAAGGACACTTATTATTGCTCAAAGGTAAGGTCAATTCATAAAGACATAATATTTGACGGCATGTATTAGAAACGTAGACCAAACTATTAGTTTGCTAACGATTGACTTTGACTGCCAACTAGCTAGCGTATATCCAGCCCAGCTAACTGTCGTTAGCTGCCAACTTGTTAGCCAGCTAATTAGCTACAGTGTTATCAACATCAACGTTTTCTGTCTGACTTTTCATCCTCGCTAGTTAGCTGGTGTTTTTAGCTAACTGTCTTTTCACCTCAAAGCACTTCAGAGATGGGAAGCCAACTCTGGAATATCCAGATCCCATCCGGGCTCTCGTGTGTGCTGCTCCGAAAAGACACAGACCCTCAACCAAAAAAAGGTAACGTAACAGTCAGCCAGGTGCATAACAGTGAAAATGATGACCAACAAGGACAGTTATAGTTATAGATTTAATGTAGTGACCACCACTGCTAACATTGACTTGAACTCCCCGCGCGGCCATTGTCAACAGTCATTCACGGTCGGCTTTGTTTGTCCGAGTTTTCAAAGGGGGCGTGGCTTAGCGATAGGTCTATTGTTAAGGGGATGCAGACCAGAGAAAGACTTTCCTCTTGTTTACATCAGGGTCCCCCATTTCCAATTCATCATGTCATTTAAGACATATAAGACATATTTGACATACAGATGGCTTATTTACAATTTACATACAGGTGGTTTTTTACATACAGATTGCTTATTTACAATTTTCATTTTAGATTTCGTTCTAATACATCCTAACCGGACATTTAAGACATACCAAGTCTACAGATATACAGTTAGTAACAGAGTCTAAAATGCGAGTATATACATAGATGGGGGGGGGGGGAGAAGCTGTCCATTGAACGACAGGTTGAGATTTGTACCATTACCGGGGCCAGTTTTGCAATGCTCTCCCCCGAAGGTGCTCTTTAAGAGAGGGTTTGAAGGTAAGTATAGTTTTACTTTCCTTTACAGTTGTGGGAAGAGCGTTCCACCTTGATGTGGCATAATTGCGAAACGTGTATTCCCCCTTTTTTGTGCCAAATCTGGGTTTCACATGATTTGTGGAGCTCCCTCTGTGGAGCTCCCTCCTTTGGGAAGAATTTTGACATGTACATGGGTACCATAGAGGTGGAGTGGATCTTGTAGACCAGGCCCATTGCAAGTAGCTGTACTCTGTCGTCTACTCTAAGCCATCCTAGGTTGTCAAAGTGGGCAGAGATGAGGTGGGTTCTAGATGAAAGGTCAAGCAGTAGTCTGACCAGTTTATTTTCCGATGTTTGAAGTTTTATTTTTAGCGCCTTGGAGGTGCTATGGTACCATGACGTGCAAGCATAGTCATAGTACCCTTGAATGAGTGCTCCTGCCAGAGTTTTCAGGGTGTTTTTGTTTACCAGAGAGGAGAATGCTCCGGTTTTGGGACAAAATGAACATGGGATCATTCCGGTCATTGTACGTACTTCGTGTCACTGGAATATTAACGGTCAGATTGAATACAACATCGACCCAATTTCTCCGGTCAATGATGGGAGAGTTTTGAAAGTGACAAAACACTGTTTCACACATTTAAAAACACTTAAACAATTAAACAATGTTTACCCAGGATTTAGGCACCTTCCCTGGCTTGTAAAATGTAGTGATGCGCCCTGGAGGTATCAGACTATTTAAAACATGTATACCCAGGATTTAATCACTTTTCCTGGCTTGTAAAGTGCTGTGAAGCAGCCTGTTCTCTGGGTGCAGTCTGGGTGCAAGAGCCATGCGCTGCAAGGAGATCTCTGGGTGTGCTCTGTGGCTCTCACAGCCTGCTTCTCTCTGGCTGCTCTCTCCCTGTATTCACAGCACTTTTCCCCAGCTTTCAAACACTTATTGCTGGGTATGAAAGCCTTGTGCATCACCCTGGAGCTCTGCCTAGGTGCCTTTGAGTGTGAGACCCTGCTAACAGTAGTGAACTTGCTGCCAGCATTACGAACATATTAATCAGGCGTTTTAACACTTTTTTCCATGAAAATTATTTTTATTCACTATCATGGGGCTATATAAATCATATTTCGGGTAATTAGGAGCACAATTGTAGCTTTTACTATTTAAATGTATTATATATTTTTGGGCTATTAAAGTGACATTTCTGGGTGACTTTGTCAGTTTATGGAGCTTAGCCCACAATTCCCGAAGGTTCTAGGCCGAATTTGGGAGCTCATAGGCGGCCTGCCATGCGCCCCCACCCGTGAAAAGCAGAAAAAAGTAAAGAAAACGGTCAATTATATCTTAAAATAATCAAAAATGAAGTTTTCAAACATTGCAAACGGAGGAGGGGCTCCAAAAAGCTCAAGTCTTCGGCGCTTCGGGCGGAAGCCCTGGACACTTTTCCACTCCCCCGTGGCATCTTACAATTGAGAGGGGAATCGAGACCTCCCCTCCTCCGTCAAAAAAAGCTACCATCCGCACGAAATCGGAAACCCAGTTTTTAAAAGGACTCAGAAAAAAAACGACTGATATTTCCTGGATGAATTCATCCGCTACATGTGCACTCTGGCTCGGATACATTTGTTGCCTGGAGACCCCCAATCATTGTTCTTACCAAACTTTAAGTTTTTGAACTGGTCTCTGGAGTAATGTAAGGGGAAAGCATAAAAAAGTAAAGAAAACGGTCAATTAATGTTACGGTGTGCAGGAAGCAGGACCCAAATGCAGATTTAAGTGACAAAATAATTCCTTTATTTCAAGGCTACAATATTCAGAGACAGAACAGAACACTCACCGCAGTTTACTCACAACACAAGACGAACCGACACTGAACACAGGAAGAGACAAGACTAAATACAGGAAGGGGTAATCACAAGACGAGACACAGCCGGGCAGGGGAGGAGAAACACAAGGGCCACAGGTGAAAACAATCAGACAACTAGACACACCAGGGAAACTAACAACGGGAGGAAAAACACAGGAAGAAGGACCAGATAATATACAAGGATGAAAATACCCATAACCAGACATAAAAAACTACAACACAGACAGATCCTAACAATTATATCCTAAAATAATCAAAAATGAAGTTTTTTAAAATTCTGGAAAAAACGACTGAGTGCCAACGGAGGAGGGGCCCCGGACACTTTTCCACTCCCCCGTTGCAGTTTACAACGGAGAGGGGAATCGAGACCTCCCCTCCTCCGTCAAAAAAATGCATTCATGTTTTTCAAGCTACCATCCGCACGAAATCGGAAACCCAGTTTTTGAGAGGACTCAGAAAAAAAACGACTGTGTGATTTCCTGGATGAATTCATCCGCTACATGTGCACTCTGGCTCGGATACATTTGTTGCCTGGAGACCCCCAATCATGATTCTTAACAAACTTTAAGTTTTTGAACTGGTCTCTGGAGGAATGTAAGGGGAGTTTGATGGGACTCTACCTGCATTATGATGCACTATTTTCGGATACATTTTAACACTTTT